AAAAGTTATGATTATTCATCTGGGCAGTGCGAGAAAGTAAAGTTTACCTGGGATTCCGCGCTCTCCCTTGGCTCCGGACACGCCCATTGGGTTCTCCATTGGACCAATGATTTCTCCTGCTTCACCTTTCAAACCTTGATAGCCAGGGATTCCAGGAAGGCCAACGGATCCCTAAAATACAAATGCAGCTTATAAGACACAAGTTTTAGTAAAAAAAAACCTACGGGAAGGCCATCTGGACCTGGTAGTCCAGGTTTCCCTGGTTCTCCCTTAAATCCACAATCACCGCTGTCGCCATCCGGACCAGGTGGTCCTGGGTAACCGTCCATACCGGGTACACCGGGTTCACCCTTTTGGCCAGGAAGGCCGTCAGGACAAAAGCCGCAACTATCTCCAACTGGTCCTTTCTCACCAGGAGGTCCAGGTATGCCATCGATACCCATTCGGCCTAAAATATTTATTTGTAAGTTTTATTGCAAAAGAGTGATTTTGTAAATTTACTTACCATTCTCTCCCGGTGGGCCGATGAGTCCCATTTGACCTGGCGGGCCAACTTTCTTTACTCCTGCGCCGGGGAAACCTTTCTCTCCTGGGTAACCCGGTTCTCCAACCTCGCCAGGAACACCCGGATAACCATCACGTCCAGGCATTCCATCGGCTCCAGGCGGCCCTTGAATGTCATATCCTGGCGGACCATCCTCTCCCGGTGGTCCACAATCACCCTCCTCTCCTGGGAAACCTGGCTCTCCGGCAAATCCTGGATATCCATCTTCTCCCCTATCTCCTTTCTCAGAATAGCCTGGCAGTCCGTCCAAACCAGGTGCTCCCTGTGGCCCAGGTGCCCCAACCGGACCTCTGGGACCTACAGCTCCCATAAGACCGTCTTTTCCCGCAACTCCTTTGGGACCAGGTACTCCATCTTGTCCTTGAAGTCCTCGTACTCCAGCAGCTCCATGACCTTCACCGTACACTCCTGGTGGTCCGACATCTCCTTCAACTCCTGGTCGTCCAGAATAACCGGGTTCTCCGGCTTCTCCCTTGGGTCCTGGGTAGCCGGCAACACCTGGGAGACCTTGTTCTCCTACGGATCCTTTTTCACCATATGCTCCTGGGACTCCGTCTTTTCCTCGTTTGCCCTGAATTACAAAATATTTTATTGACTGAACGGTGAATGTGGAGAATACCCTTGATTACCCTGTTTCCAGCGTCTCCGGGATCTCCCTTCTGTCCTTTAAGTCCCGGGTAACCATCAGCGCCGCTGACTCCAATCATTCCAGGTGGTCCAACCGGACCATCACGTCCTTTTTCTCCCTT